CAGGACACCCCCCCCGGCAGCTCCAGCCCTGTTGGGGTGCAGGGAGGGATGCGCTGTGCTCGATGAGGCCCTGGAGCCGCTCAGGGATGGTGGTGGGTGAATGTGGAACCAGCAGCACTGGAGAGGCAGCAGCTGCAGGATGGGGACAACTCGCTGGATGTGCAGCACGAGCCCGGGGCTATCGCTCCCGCTCATCAGCTTCTGGCTGCTGTGAAGGAGATAAGGCTCAGGAAGCCGAGGAGCAGGCGCTCGGGGTGCAACCAGCCCCTGTCACATCCTGCCCCGCGCTGCTGCTGCTGCTGCTGCTGCTGCCACGGGACAAGGCACCAGCGCTGGAGAGCAGCGACAGGAGGCAGCAAAGCTCGGTGCAGGTTGTGCCTGTGGGAGCCTGTGCTGGTTTTGGGGTACCTGCCATGCACAAACCCTGCAGTGTCACCGGTGGTGGTTCCCCAGGGTAAGTGCAGCACGTGGGGACATGGGAGGAAAAGTGGGTGATGGAGCCAGCAGAAAGGAAGGTGCAGGCCATGGATGGGGGGCTCAAAGGCGAAGCCCTCAGGAAACCCTCAGGCACTAACAGGAACGCTGTTTTTCCCCACCGTGAGTGGTTTTAGGCTCTGGGAACAGTCTGGGGGGCCCAGCACTGTCCCCCCAACCACGCAGGGGCTGCCCAGGGCAGCACAGAGGGAGCAACCTGCAGCCAGGGCCTGGGGAGGGAAGAGGAGGGCACAGGAGTCCCTTCTGCCTCCTTGATCTGGGGACAGCACCAGCGGTGACTGGAGCTGCAGCTCTGCAGAGCCCGGGGTTGGTGGCTTTGCTCTGCCACCTGCTGGGGACAGGATGGGGTAGGGGAAAACCACGCAGGATACAGCCGTGGGTCCGGAACCATGGACACTGCTCCGGGTTTTATTTCCCAGCACAGGAACAAGGCAAACCCTCCCTGGTGCTGGTGGCACAAGGTTCTGCCCAGCGCAGGGAGCACGGTCCAGCTCCACGGGCACAGTGCTCGGGGCAGCAGGATCTTGGCTGGATGCTCCTGCCCAGCTCCCCACGGCTCCACTCACACACCGAGCTCCCAACTGCATCCAGCAGCATCCCGGGAGCAACTCAGGCTCCACCTTTTCCCCGCTTGTCCCTGCTCACTCCATGGCTGCGGGCTGCTGCTCCTCCACATCCCGAGTCTTGGAGTTCATCAGCTCCCTCCGGATCTCCGGTGAGATCTGCGGGTGGCTGTGGAACTTGAGCAGCTCAAGCAAAGCCTCCTTCTGCTCCGAGGACAGGTCCTCCTTGTAGCGCTGGGCCAAGGCCAGGAAGCTCTGGTGCCACAGCACGGGCAGGACACGCTGGTCCGTGCGGAAGGCCAGGAAGTGGAAGACGAGGGCATCCACCACGCGGAAGGGCAGCGCGTACTTCTTGTCGATGAGCAGGCGCAGGAAGATGCTGTTGGCGCCGTTGTACTGCATCTCGGCGAGCTTCAGCATGGCCGCGCTGCGGGGACACGGCACAGAGGTGGCAAATGGAACGCTGAGCCTCGAATCCCAAGCCTGGGGGGAGCTCCCCCCGGCTCCGAGATGCCGAAGGGGAGACCTGAGGTGTCGCGCCGAGGTCCCTAAGGAGAAGCTTTGCCACCCAGCACCTTACCTGGAGTGGAGGACGGGGATGGAGCACTTGGTGAGGATGCTGCCGATGATGATGGCCTCCCGCAGCGTGCAGGTCCCCGACTCGCACAGCGGGATGAGGATCCCTGTGGAAGGGAAGGGTCAGGCAGCTCCTGTCCTTCACCACGACAGGCAGAACCCTGTGTTAATGCCCCTTCTCCCACCCTGGGACACATCTGACTCCAGGAAAGAATAGCTCCTCCAGCAGCTCCCACCAGCCCTGAACTTCAGGTTGCCAGACAAGGCCCAGATCAGAGCCAAGACAGTTCATAACCTGCCACCGACCTCCCAGAGAACCCAAGTACCTTTGAACCAGGCTGCTGGCTTGAACAGAGCCTTCTTCAGAGCCATGTAGAGGTGAAAGTTGAGGCGCTTGTACTCTGCAATGTCGTCCCTGACCCGCGGCAGCAGCACCAGGTTGTAGAAGCGCTGGGCCATCCTCTCCTTCAGGTTGGATGAGAATATCCTGGGAAAAGCAAAGCACAGAGTGAGGATGGAGCAGGCAGGGGACAGGTCCGTGTTCTGCAAACCTGGTTCCAGCTATGGAAAGAAACAAGCAAAACATCCCAGAGACCCTCTCACCTGGTGGCCTGGTACATGGCAGCCGCTGTCCATGCCTCCGGCTCCGTGATGTAGAGGATCTGCTCCCAGTTGGACAAGGCAGGAATGATTTTAAATGCCTTGGGGAGTTTCCCGCTCCTGTATTTGGACAGCACCTTAAAAGACACAGATAAAGACTAAGCCGTGACATTCGGGTACCACGAGCAGGACCTGTCTCACGACCATGCCAACGCTGCTCATCTCCAGTAAGGACAAGCCAAAAAAAAAACCCCGCGCCCGACCCATCACTTGGAACCAGTCGGGGTGCTCAGTGACCACCACTACGTGATCCCAGAGGGGCCGGCCCCGGGGCCGAGCTGCTGTGGCCTCACCTCTCGCACACCCCGATAGACCTCCAGGACGCGGGGGTCAAGCTGGGGCATGGGGCAGCCGGACCCCTCCGACAGCGCCGTGTCCACCTCCGTCTGCTTCTCCGTGATCTTCTCCAGGATGATGTCCGCCAG